TTTTTTGTTTGTGTGCAACCCGTTGTTTTTCATTAACTTAAAATGCCGATCTTACATCCGTTCATATCACAATACATGAAAACATTAAGAAATAAGATAACTATACGACAGCGAATCAAAAACAATTTTTTGATGTGTCGGTATAAAGCTCACGGCTAAGCCGGAGAGCAAAAGTTTGGTCACATTAAGTCGTGACGTTGAAAGAATACCCATATCTCCGAAATTCATCAAAGCGAATCCGGTTGCATTCGTTGGTCTGGTATAAACTGCTACACGAAAATACAAAAAGATTAGGGAAATGATTGGTATTGGTTCCGAGAAGCTTCTCTCCCATTGGGAGGAATATACAAGATTTAAGAATCCAGAAAACTTTGATATTTTCTTCGTGGAGAAAATATCGAGCTCATAAAATACAGGATTTGAGAATCCAGAAAACTTTAATTTTCACAGTGAAAATATCAAGATTAGAACACATCAATGGTAAAGCCAGTCTTGTGTTAAAACCAGAAGTACTCTTAACAATGTAATAACGTGACATGGGCTTGGGTTGAATGATGGATGTGCCTGATGGGCCAAGAAGCCTACAAATCGAAATGGGACAGGCCCAATCTCTAAGACTCTTGTGACGGAGGCGCTTCGAGAGGATCCACGGTGTGAAGGAGAAACGACTCCTCGGTGATAGATTGTTGCAACGAAAGCGTGAGAAGTAGACGACTGGTTGTAGTCGCCGGAGCGAGTGGTCAAAGCATCAGATCCGGTGGACAGAGCTGAGGATGGTTACCAAGGAGAACGGCAGCGGATCCGGTAAATCCGGCGGTTCCGGCCGGTGAAGATGGTTCTGCAACATCAACGACGGGCCGTAAAAGAAAGAGAAGCTCCGAATTGCAGGGACCAAGGGCTCAAGCTGCGTGGATGGGAGAGCAAATTGTGAAACGGTTTGAAGATAAAGCTCGCCGGAAACCATGGTGTAAGGTTCAGTACGGTCGGCAATCGCAAGAGATTTAAGAAGCTTCTCGCCGGAGATGGTGGCTAACGGCGGAAAGGTGAGAATGGATCTTCGGAAAAAGCTTGCCTGGACGTGAGCGTAGAGGAAGCAATCGTCGATCAAAAGGAGAGGAGATCGGATCTTGAACGCCAGTGGTGGCTGGGAGTCTCCTTCATCTGAGATACGGCTGCCTCGATCTCCGTGCTTGGAAGAGAAAGAGCTAGGGCGAACTGATAAATTCTCAAGTTTGCTTTTAGCGGTTCATATTCATGTAGTGATTTACGCACCAATATTCATCAACTATCCCATATTAGCTCAATCTAATGTGCATCATGTTTGTGCAAGTATGAAAGCAAAGAGACGACACAAAGAGATACGAGTTCACAAGACCAAAACTGGTCAAAGTACATCTCAGTGAGCTTATAAAACCGCTCACAGCCAGGTAGCCCAGAGAATCAGCTTACAATCACACACCCAAAGCTTACACCATTCACTAGATGAAATCACCCAAAAAACAAAGTATCCGAAGCTTGAAGAAGAAAATAAGATCACAGGAAGTGATCGATCGATCACCCAGTTCGAAAAAAAGAGAAATTTATATTTTTTTGAAGAATATCTCCTAAATCTTTTGGGAAAAACCCTAGTCGACTTCTACACTTTATAAAACCAGAAGAGATGCGACGTCTATCATCAAGCGGAGACACTCATCACGCTCACCACCATCATCAGCTTAAAGTTCTTAGTTCTTCACAAGTTCTAAAAAGTATTCATCTCTCTTACTTGTTTTCTCTACTTTTAGGAGAAGGATTCTCATCTCTTTGTAACCCTTGGAGAAGTTTCTTGAACCCTTTACTACTGTTCTTAAGACAAAGAGTTTATATATCGCTATTGTTTTGAATTACTTCATCATGTTTGAGTAGTTTTTTTTGTTGGGTTATAGAGAAATCAATTCGAGGGGCTTTCATTGTTCGATAGATACGATTTATAAACTAGGGTGGTACTTTTTTAGGTTTTGAGTACTCATTCATCTTGATCGTTCTTGATATATGTTTTAAGGTTTGATCTCCTTGAAATAGATCTTATATAAAGTATAGAGTTCTAGCCGTTCCAATTGCTTGTCTGAAAAAGATGTTTGATGAGTTTGATTCGTTAGGAAGACAAGAGTTAGACCTTTAGGATTGAATGAACAATTGAACATGTTTGCAATTGCACTAGATCTTAGTCTTTATCGCTATGAGAGTAGAATGATAAGACTAGTTCGAATTAGTAGCTAATAATCGTGAGAGCTTATTTAGCTTGATATGCGTTCATGTTATAGGAAGAAAACCAAATCAATTATCTCTGGGAATTACCTAAATAAT